CCTTTAGAACTTAAACCAGTTACAAAACAGCTGAAAAAAAAAGATTTCTAATTTTAATAAAAGTCAAATAGAGACTGATCTACACTGCAGTGTCCCCAGGACATTTACAAAGTTCTGGAATTCCTTCAGCTGCACAAACAAGAATTTATAAATATTTTTTGAAATTAAGTTTATTGAAAATGTCACCTGTGCAGCTGGAAGTGAATATAAAAGAGAAACTGCGTGGGGGGCATGGGGATGGGTAGGGGAGCTTGCTACAGGTAGATTGTCCACTTGGCTTTGTATTTCTAGTTTATGATTAGCTGCTTTAATTTCGGTCCCTGCCAGCTGCTCCTGCACAGCAGAAGGACAGTGGCACAGTTCAGAAGGAACATCCAAGAGGAAATGGATCCTTTAGAAGGCAGATTGCTGCACCCATGGCCTAATCAAATGGCTGCTGAAGGATTCAACATCACCAGAAAAAAGTGTGTTCTGAGGGAAATCAGGTGCCACTGCTGCACAACATGTTGAATGCGCTGTTAGACTTCATGCACAGCACTAAAAGGAAGGGTGCAAACTATAGACATCTGCAATCCCAAATGCTACTGTGCAGGTTCTTACCCACCTCTAGTGGTGATACTGAAATACAGTCTTAAGGAAACTCACAGGTTTCCCAAATTTGGAGAACTACTCAATTTTATATAAATTTTGTTCATATTTTGTGGTGAACAGATTAGGCTAGATACAGGCCCCAGAACTTATCTCACACTAGGTATATAATGGCATAATTCTCCATCTTTCATCCAAACCCAATTTGTTTTAAAAGACAAAGTGTTGCTGAAGTTTGACTTCAGGAAAAACCCATTCCATCCCTGTGAGCAGGAGACAGGCAAGTCTTAAAGCATGAAAAAAAATCAAGTCAGGAAGTGTTCCAGTAAGGATGAAACCTCTTTCAGCCCCATCACTTAAATGAAGGGATGTTGTGGGGGGAATCTTGGAGAATTCTAATTGTATCACTTTGAGGCAGTATCACTTTGAGGGGGGAAGAAATTCAAGTAGTCAGGATTTGGGTTGCCTAAATATTACATGTAAAATTCATAAATATAGTTACTAAATGTAAAATATTAAACAGTAACATAAAATATTTAAGCATTAGATGAAAAAAAATATTTCCCCTCATATTTTAAATTGGAGAGTTTTTATTGCAGTTGCTTACCTCTCACTTTATACATTGCTGGCTGCAGAGTCTGAGGTAAATACAGCCACCTTACTTGTATCTGAGGTCTGTAGTGTGGAACTACCTGCACGGGAAAAGGTGCATTCTTTTCTGCTCTATCAAGGGAAACTGGATGTAATGTTCACAAAGTGAAGCTGATCTAGAAGTAAGTGTTGGAGTCTTGAATTTTATTTTTTTTAATCATGAATTTTACTTCTCGCAGAAAGGAAACTTTTTATTATTTGACATAGGTGATCTAGTGTAGAAATTAATAAGCCTAAAATAGATTGACATGAAGTAAAATGAGGATGGAAAAAGCGCAATGAAGTGTCTGAATAAATTTGTGAAGGGCTATATCTGTTCAACTGCAGACTGTTCCTCTTTCACACACTTCCCATGCCTCTTACCACTTAAGTTTTTATTCTTTTGGGTTCCTTTGCCCTATATATTTCTAATACTTTGCAACAGATGTGTAGATGATTAAAAAAAGCTGTGAATTCAATGTTGGCTGTATAAATATTTTCCATATAAACTTATTCAATATTTGTGATATTACTCAAAGTGATATCTTGACTACCAAGACTGAAACTTCTGGGAGGACCAAATACAGCAGCTGCACTGAACCTGATGGATTGCAGTCGTGTTCTGCATGGGTATTTGAATCCACCTGCACAGCATAAATACAGACAGAGCTCCAGTTTTGAAAAATAAGATTCTATTTTGCAGTGGGTAGGTCGAATTAAAGAGCTTCTTGGACCCATGTTTTCCTAGTAAAGGTGCAGCAGTCTGATGAAGGCAGCACTGCTGTCGGTACTCGTGCACTCACTGATTCAGAGATGTAACCATTGCATAACAGCAGGGAAGGTGCAGAATCCAGTCACAGCTCTTAATGTTTGGGTTTACTGACTAGTTTTACCGTTTCAAATGTTATACTTGCAGTTCGTGTTTGCTTATCTTTATTTGTTACTTGCTAAATTTTAAATGGTGTAAGAACTGGAGCTGGCATTCTGGTTTTTTTCAGAAAATTTTGTATCTCTCTTCAACCAAGTTAAATGGAAAGGAGGGATTAATTTGAACTTCATGGTATTTTAATGAATTTTCACTGCTATGAATTGGCTTTGCTCCCTGTAGTCTCTGTCCTTTATTGCATTAGTGCTGCAGTGCAATATTGGCGGGAGATATTGCTTTATGAACTACAGTGTCTCGGTACTGCTCTTGTTATTCATCATCTAATACAGACTAATCGATGCTATTACAGACCATTCCACAGTGAAAAATAAACATTTCTGCTTTAGCTGGGTGACGGTCACTTCATCTGTAGTGAGCATGGAAAGCCAAATAAATATTTGATGTGTACCTTTGTAAAAAGGATATAAGCAGAAGTCTTGTTGTATGTGAAGAATAAAATAACTGCAAGAATTTTATGTGACAAGATGCTTCAGAGGTTTATCCTTTTTCGTTATATATTATGTTTCAAAAGTTACAAGTCAATTTTTTTAAGCTCATCAGGTTTAAAGGCATTTATTTTGCTAGCTAGATACAAATAATTTTTACAGAATGTGGCTTTGACGGCTTCTGCTGGAGTGCTGTAGGTAAAAAAAATGGCTTCCCCTTCCCCTCACTGTTTGATGAAATAGAGATTTTTTTCTTCAGTATTTAGTTGTTGTTTAAATTCTGCTGTTAACAAGTTATTTCTGTATGAAAAGTCACAGTGACATTTTAGTACTGCCACCAGAGTCACTGGCAGCTTGTGAAACAGTTCTCCTGACTTGTCCCATGTGGATTGATCACTGCATCCCAAGGGGACAGCAGGGTGTGGGTGGCAGTGGTGTCTCAGACCAGGGTCGCTCCCGCTCCCCTCACGCTGCCATGACTTTTGCCTTGAAGGAGTGAGAATGGAAGAGTGGACCCCTCCTTCTATGGTTGTTACCCTTCACTTTGGGGCTGGAAAGTGCCTACAAGCTTTTCCAGAGAGACAGCTTGGCTGTTTTTATTCCTGTAGAAAATGTGGGAGAAGTGTAGACATTGTTTTGATTAGGGCTATGAAGACTGCTTACACATTTAGCCTCCTTCACCCTATTGTACTGTTTTCTTGCTCTTTTTAAATAGTGTGCTACCAGCAAGACACATACCACATCAATTTGTGGTTTATCTCCTGTGTACAAAAGTGTTTGCTGTAGTGTCGGATCTGTGCTGTTCAGAAAATAAATGTTTCAGGGAAAACTCAGTGCTCTCTGTTGTGGAGGGATCGAAGTATGTTTAGGCCAAGGTACAAGTCTTCAGCAGCTCCAGCCTCCCGGCTGCCCTGGAGTGTGGGCTGCGTACATTGTGTGCACTGTGGGAAAGGCCACACTGCTGCGACAGAGAGCAGAAGTGTCACCAAATGCTCCTGTAACTCGTGAGCACCTCTCGCACTGCTCTGAGCTCTGCCGAGGAAAGGGGGGAAACCTCTGAGAAAACGCCAGTCACTGGGCGTTGCCCGGAGCCCGGTGGCATTGGGAAGCCTGTGCCCTACAAGTGTCCTGTCCACACGGGACCTGCCCCTCAGTGCCATTTTCAAGCGCGTTTTGGGGATGTGTGCTGTCTGGAGCTGCTCCACTGCTTACATTGCACTGCATACAGCGCTCTAGAGCACAGAAGTCAGGAGAGAGCCCTTCCCGCTTCGATACCCGCTCTGGGCCGGGGAGTTTCGGGGTCCACCCGGCCAGCTGCGGGCCGGGGCAGGAGCTGGGGCAGGGCCGGGGCTGCTCTGGGCTCTCCCCCCGCACCCGGGGCCCGCGGGCTGGGGCAGCGCCGCGCTCCGCCCCATCACCGACCCAAGGGGCCGAGGCGCTGTCCGGCGACCGGGCACCGGTTATAAAAACATGGTAAAAAACTGCGGGCGGAGCGATTTGTGCCCGAGCTCCGCCAGGAAAATCCAGTGTGGGGTGGGTTTTTTTGATGTTCTTGGAAGACCCTTGAGACCGCCGAGTTTCTGCTCACACGGAGCTAAGGGCTCCTCTCAGGCCTTTCGGGTTTCCTCCTCCCCCTTTTATTCTTCCCGTTACCGGCGCAGATCTGCTGTCCGGGGGTCCCCGGTGAGCGGCCCGCGCCCGGGGCAGGGCTGACGGAAACCCCCGGCAGGGAACCGCTTCCAACAGCGCCCGGGCGGTGCCGGGCCGGGGACGGGGCCGGTCGGGCCGGGCTCTGCCTGGCGGTGGACGAGCGGAGCGGGGGCACCCCCGCACCCCGACACCGGGCAGTGCCGCGGCTGCCCCGGGGCACCTCCTCTCCCCCGCCCGGCGGGGCGGTCCGTGCCCGGCGGGGCCGCGGCGCCGCCAATGGGGAGCGCGGGGCGGGCGCCGCCAGCCCGGGCCGCCCCTCCGCGGCGGCGTCACCGGCACCGGGGCTGTCCCCCCGC